TCGGAATCGGTCGACAGTGGACTGCCATCTTGTCGTTTCCAGTAGACGTTCAAATCGGGTCGATTCGGCACATGACATGTGAACCGTACGGGTGAACCTTCGACAACCGTATCCGACGATACGTCAACAGTTGGAGTGGCTGCGGGACCGTACTGCTCTGGTTGCCGCTGTTGTTGTTCTGCTGTAATAGACCACCACCTGTATCCCGTGCAGAACACATAATCGTTTCACAATTACCAATAAATAGTGCTTTGAAAACAACTGAAAAGCGGCGACTCGACTGAAATGACTGAAATGGTGATTGCGGCAATCGTGATTTGACATGTGGTTTTATAGTGAAGCAATTGGCTGCTTTGTGTTGTTAATTTGTGACAATACAAAGGACATACGTTCAGTTGAGGTTACAGTTAAGTGTATAGGCATTGACTCTGCACTGAGTGTATCATAGTCATCCGGATGTCCGGTTGCGCAAACGTATGCACCGGAATCGGACGATTTCGTTTGCATAATCGTTAGAGTACCACGTAACTCAACGGCATCACTTGGCAATGGACTGCCGTCTTGTCGCTTCCAGTAAAGATTTATTTCGGGTCGATTTGGTATATGACATGTCAAGCGTACGGCTTGTCCTTCGACAACCGTATCTGACGATATTTCGACGGTAGGTGTCGGAGGGGCAAGAGGTGCTGTAAAATGAGAAACCCAATCACCACAGATTTGATCACAGACATATCATCCAATGATTTCAAATTCTGCCACCGGACTGCCTCTGAGGCATCCAACACATTTAGATGTAGTTGTCAGGCAACGACTGGCGACTGAGCAAAGAAACAGATGAGAGAGACATCCAAAATTCGGATGAGCAGTGCAGAGAGTATCAGATGAGATAAAAATTGAGAGAGCTCGAAAGACACACAATAAAAACATACTATCTGGTGCGTTTACGATAATTCTAGCTGGTTCAGAACGTAATGGTGCTGCACCATCACTTTCTTGCGCCAAGCAGATATAGCTGCCGGCGTCTGTGCGTTTGGCTTGTGGTATCGTTAGAATGCCTTGTTCATCGGTAACATCAGAACCTAGTGGAGCACCATCTTCTCGAATCCAAGACAATTTTGCACCAAGATTTCCGGGCAAGTAGCATCTGAGTCTTACTGGTGCTCCTTCGTTTACAGTTTCTTCAGGAGACACAACTATTGGTGCTTTTGCTGGAAATTTCAACATAATGACTGACTGCCCAGTTCAGCTATGGAAACCATTCACTCAAATCATTGCGATCAACTAGGAATATTNAGGAATATTAACGCAGTTTAACTCATACATTTAACATACTCAGAACAGTACCCTGAAATTTCAAAATCTATGGTGACCTTATAATGCTCGACTATCTACCCCGCGCCCGTTCACGTAATATTCTAAATTACAATTTCGATATGTGATCGAGTGCATATGAAATCAAAACATAATGTTATATGGCTAGAAAAATAATTGCTTTACGTCAAAACAAATGTGAACCGATAAAATAACTCAAAGTCGAATTCGGACTCAAAATAAGCAATAAAACAATGTATACTTAACGTAACTTAAACTGTGCGAAACATAATCAATGACTAACGAAAAAAACGCAAAAGTTGCCAAATTAAATCAAAACCAAAAGAAAAACCGTGACAACGACGTACGAGGTGCTGCATTAACATTAAGATGAATCGGTGATGAATAGACCGGGTTTGCGGTCAGTGGATCTTTTACGGTGCAAACATATGAGCCACTATCAGACGGTTTCGTTTGCATGATGGTTAGTACACCCTGTTCGTAGATAGCATTCTCGTTTATTGGACTACCATCCTCTTTTGTCCATTCAACCTCGGCATCCGGTGAACCCGGCAGATAGCACCGGAATCTAACTGGTGCATCTTCGTTAACTGAATCTGATGATGCGTCGACAATTGGTGTGTTAGCTGCTGCCGCTATAAGCCCAACTGATTAGTGAACGAAAACAACGTTTACGGTTAGATTAACATCGATATCTGATTAGTTGATGTTGAACTGACATGATTTGATGTTATATGGACATTCTATCAATCAACATTGATCATTCTTGTCAACAACGGTAACGGACAATGAAGTGCAGACACAAATACGCATATGCAGAACAGAAACGCCTTATAGAGTGAAATGCAGATGATTCACTTTAAAACTTGTTGAATTTAAAACGTATGCATGCCAGAAATTGCTTGTGAAATGAGAGCATGAATCTTTAGTAAGATTATCCCACTTCACAAATANCCTTATCCGTAAAAATATAGACAGACACCATCATTGTGGTTCACGCAGTTGACCAAATCCGCAGATTTTGGTCATCTATCCGTTTGGTCATTTGTTTCAATGACCATTTGATCATTCTGATTTGATCATCTATTTTGATTACCTAATCGAGATTCACTAGGATCTAATCCACTAGACTTTGGCTTTCACTTCAGTACTGATTGAAATAATGATCGGATAGTAATACTGCACTGCAACCCTCCAAAATGTCAACTGTAAACCCCGTAAAAGTGACGTCTAAACGTTAAGAAGCGAAACGTTAACGTTAACATGCCCAAACAATAGAAACAGCTGAACGAATGGTCTAGCAGCGATTGATTAAACGAAATTCTAGCGATTAGTATCATTCAAGCGAAACGAAAAGCAACAAACGAACGTACTTCCAGTTGGCTTAACAACAAGATAGACAAGTGGTGAGTTCACACCAACTCCGACACCGTTTCTCGGTACCGCCGAGCATACGTATGCTCCTGCATCACCTGGCTCTACCTTATCAATTGTTAGTGCACCTTTGCGGTCCGTAATGCCGTCTCGGAGCGGCCGTAAATCCTCACGATGCCAACTCAACATCATGTCACCGTTTGCGGATGGTATTTCACATCTCAGAATGACCGTTTCTCCCTCATTTACCACCTCTCGTTGTGTGTTGACAGCTGGAATTCTAGCTGGAAAATTATTGACATGCTATCAGCAGCAACAGCAGCAGCACCACACTTCATTCTACAACGATCACAACGAAAACATCAATCAGCTCATCGTTCAAAGGCATCTCTCTATCATCGAAATTTTCAAGTGTTCCTTATGAATTTTTCTGAATAGTACAACACATGTATATCCATTCTAATTCCACAGATATTGAGGAGATAAGACACTGAAATTGTTCTCAACGGATTGAGAACATCATATTGCTTGTCGTTGTTCAATTACTGTTAGTTCAATATTCAGAAAGCAGCAGTAGACAAATGAAGTTTTTCATCTGATAGACCGGTGAGTTCATTCGGAAACCTTCAGCTCATCTTTATAAAAAAAAGAAACGAATAAGTAGATGCCAGTGAACGTGTGCTCAAAAATAAAATGAGTGAGTATTGTGAATTCATTCCGCATTCAAATGCTAGACACAGCTTGCATAACAAAATTTGAATTAAAACTTAGAAAATGTTACAGGT